TGGCCAGGGTGGGGGCAGGGCAACAGGGAGGTGTGGGGCGGGGCCAGGACTCGGGGGCGGGGTCTCGAGTTCGGGATGGGGCCACGGCAGGTCTCACGAGCCAGAGAAGGGTTGGGGTGTTGGCGGAGGCGGGGAAGGATGCCAGGGCAGGACCAAAGGTGGGCTCTGAAGGCGGGAACGGACGCCGAAGCAGGGCGGGAGAGCTGGAACTGGGTCAGGGCCAGAAGTAGGCGGTGTGGCCGGCAGAGAAGGCCGAGGGCCGAGCCCTGGGGGCGGGGCTCCTTTAGGGGCGGGGCCGCACGGGGGTGGGAGGACGAGATGCCGGCCCGCAGCCTCCTTACCTGTGTACTGCTGGACTCCGGAGAAGGCGGGATGCAGGGTCTCGGCCACGGTCGGGCTCTGAGCTGCGGGCAGACGGAAGGGCTAAGTGGGGCGGCAGAAGCCTGCCATCCATCACCTCCGACCTTAAGCTCCGGAAGCGGAGCAAGGAACACCGCCCCAGCTTCACCTCTACGTAAACATTTTGCAAGGATGACTCCCGTGTTACAGGTGGGGAAACTGAGGCTCAGAGAGGTGAAGTAACTGGCACAGGGCCATTCATTCAGATAGGAAATGGCAGAAGCCTTACTGGAATTCAGGTTTCTTGGACTTTAGAGAGAGGTCAAAACATCACTCCCATCTCTGTCTCCCGACCTGGTCCCCTCCCTTTTTCCGTTTATTCTCTAGATTCTCCAGGACTCCAGGATTCTGCTCCAGACCCTCACCCACCCTCATGCATTCACCTCTCTCACTCGGGGAGGGGAGAAGTTGTCCAGGCCACCAGAACTAGTGAGTCTGGGGAAAAAATCAGCCAAAAGATTCTGCTCGTATAGAGAGAGGTAGCCAGAGGATGGAAAGGTGTGTGGGGGGGGGGGGCGCGAGACTGTAAACGGGTCACATGATCGAACTGCTCTGTAGAGCTAGAACAGATCTGCATCTTGATTGTGCTGGTGATTACAAGAATCTATACCTGTGATAAAATGGCATACAACCACACACACATACACGGTGCATGTAAAAAGCAGGGGAAATCTGAATAAGCGCTCCTACTCTAGTTGAGTTCATCGTTCGGTACCGATGTCAGTTTCCCGGTTTTCACAATGGTTATGTAAGAGGTTAGCATCAGGGGAAGCTGGGCGAGGGGTACACGGAACTTCTCTGTATTATTTTGGCAACTCCCCGTGAGCCTCCAATCATTTCAAAATAAAAATAAAAGTAAATTCTCCTCGATGGTGGAAACACAGATGACTTACTTCACATCAGTGAGGTGTTGGAAGATGTTTGCCTTGAAATCATAGTATAGGGTAGAGAAAGACAGTACCTCTGCTTCATGAGGGCAAGGCCCAGCCCACATCAGTGTGCAGTCAATACTGAGTGAGCGAATGAATGACTGAATACGGGTACTGGTATCTTCCCAAATAGTAATTAAAATAATTACGGCCGATGGTGCCATTCTTGGTACTAGGGGACGTGTTAAGCATTTTACATACTGACTTCATAGTCAATGCAGCCTCATGAGATGAGTGATGTTATTCGCCCTGTTTCTCGGATGAGCAAACTAAAGCTCAGAGACTTAAAGAAGCCACCAGTGCCACCGAAGCCAAATATGGACCCAGAAACATCTGGGTGCAGAGTTTCTACGTTTACCCTCCTTCTCTGTGCCCACTGCTCGCATTTGTTCAGCGGAGACGCCCTTCGTTCTGCCCCTCTGTTCCCTGGGCACAAAGGCACAGGAAATCATGCTTGTCCCAGAGACACCATCCCTGCCCCCTGCCACTGTCCTTAGCCCCGGGGGACCACCCGAATTACCTGGGTAGGGCACGAGGCCATTGGCATATACAGTTTCTAGGGCGGGGTGCCCGCCAGGGAAGGGCACGACACCTGCAAAGCCGTTGGTGATGGGAGCCACGAGGCCGGGCACGGCGGCAGTGCTGAGCAGTGGGGGCGAGTGCAGCCCTGCAGAGAAGAGCGGAGGGGAGCCTAGCGGCAAGGGGAGCCTGTTCCCGGCCCCAGCCCTGCCCACCTACCCTTGGGCCCCTGGCGGGCTCTCACCAGAGGCAGGGGCGATGGGTGTGGCAGGCAGCCCATTAAGGCTGACGGCGCCGATCTGCTGGATGTGGCAGGGTGAGAAGGCCACGCCGGGGCTCAGGTAGCTGCCCGAGGTGGACAGGACCGTTGTCTGCTGCTGCATGAGCTGGGGGTGGAGAGGGAGTCAGCATGCAGTCAGTGTGGCACATGAGATCATAGCTCATGGGGGCAGGCCTGGTCCTCCAGTGACTAGGTGTGGGTCAGGCTGGATATTTTGGCTCAGGCCAGGGTCAGGGCTCAGTCAGGAATTGGAGTTTAGCTTGGGATCAAGGCTCAGTATAGAATCAGGGTTCGGCCTTGGGATCAGGGCTCAGCCAGGAATCAGGACTCAGCCTTGGGGTCAAGACTCCGTCTCGGATCTGGGCTCAGCCTGGAATTAGGGCTCGGTCTGAGTCCATTTAGGAATTAAAGCTCACCCAGGGACCAGGGCTCAGTCAGGAATTTGATCTTGGCCTGGGATCAGGGATCAGCCAACACCGAATTCAGCCAAGATTGGGACTCAGTGTGGGGTCATCCTGGATTTAGAGGCTCGCTCTGGGTTTGGTCTTGGTTCAGGGTTGAGGCTCGGCCTGGATTTGGGGGCTGAGCATGGGGTCATGTCAGTTTGGAGTTAGGGTTTAGCTTGGGCTCAGGACTCTGTTTATGGCTGGAGGCTCAGTTATGGTCAGGATAGGACCCTGAGTCAGAGAGGTTGGGGAAGAGACAGAAAGATGGGCAGAGAGGCAGATCCCCTTAACAGAGACTACATGAAGAAAGAGACTGAGCCAGCCCCCCAGAGTGGTCTCGAGAGCCCCACGGGAGACAGAAGCATGTCTGCTGGGGTCACTCACAGCCTGGGCGTAGGCACTATAAGGGCTGAAGGGCAGGGTGAGGGATGGCGTCAGGATGCCCAGCTGGCCCACCATCTGCTGCATGCGCCGTAGTGTTCGCTCCTTGTCCGTGTCGGCAAACTTGACCACCAGGCTGGAGGAGGCACCCTGCAGGGGCAGCCACAAGCAGGAAGGGAAAAAAAGGAGGGGGGTATCCAGGACTGGGGTCCCCAGAACTACACCAGCGCAGGTCCTTGGATGAGGGGTGGAGACAGCAGCAGCTGTCCGCCACCCCTAGCTGCAGACCTCAGGCGCTAAAGCGAGACAGCCTGGAGATCAGAGTCCCGGATCTCGCACTTGACCGTGCAGCCATCCCTGCACACAGGTGGGGCATCCGGGCCCCGGGGGCTGCGTCTGGGGTGCAAGGGAGGACCTATCAGCCACACTCTCAAACACAGGAGGAGAATCCAACTCCTAAAGAACAATGGAGGCCCCAGGTGAAGAACCCTATAAGTGTCACCCACACCTGAGAACAGGTGAGAATCCAGCCACCAGAGAGGCTGACATGCCCCCTTTGATGGAGAGCTCACTCCCTGCCAGCTTCATCACTGGATGGCTGTGAGCAGGAGGAGCCTGACCTGGGGCTGAGCTGAGTCCTGCTCTTCCAGGGACTAAACTTGACACCTGCTCTTCTGGGACCGCCCTGTGCTTTACATCGCTTTCAAGAACAACTGAGAGAAGAGTTGGTCCTCTAAGGCTCAACTTCCAGAGCAGTTTGCACATTTATGTACAGGGATGGTGGTTCCAGGAGCCCCTTCCCGGGGGGCAGGGCCACTCCCAATGCCTGGCTGGTCCTCCCCAGCCTCACGCAGCTGCTGACCCACAAGGTCCTGGCTCCAGTCCTACCCCTGCCCACCCCCTACTCCAGCCCCAAAAGGACATTTCCAACAGACCCGGCCCCTTCCCACTCCTGTTGAAACCCTCTGTGGCTCCCTTCCACCCTAGGAGGAACCCCTGAACCTTGGCCTTGAACCACAGGCCCCTCCAGCCATCCTCCCCTGTTCCTCTGCAGCCGCCGTTCCCCTCCCCACCTTTGACCTTGTCACTCTCCATGTCTCCCTGTCCCCTGCTGGCCTCGGCAAATCCCACCCACCCTCAGGTCTCACTTATCCTGAGAGACTCTCCTGTACACTTACACACATTCACACATTTGCACTCACCGCGCAGGCTCACTCACTTGCACACATGCTTTCATACATTCTCATGCACAAAAATCACACACATACACACATAAGCACATACAGTTACTATGCACACATAATCACATACCCGTACTCGCACGCGCTCATCCACACACATACACACTTATCCTCACACACACGGACACAGATGTGCGCACCTGTTCACCACAGCACCCAGGCATGTATACATTACATATGCACCGGCTCCCATGCACACTTAACCATGCACACTCACGTACACACCTCGTGAGCACACGGGTGCTCGCGTAACCCTCACCTACTAATAATCGCACACTCACACCGGCATGTGCACACCCACCTGCGCTCTCACGCACACGTGCACACACATGCAGCCACACACTTGCACGCTCGCACATTCACTCACACACATCCGCCCCCCAGCAGGGATCTGCCCTCTGCCTCCACCTGTGCCCTCTCTGAAGAAGGGCTGAGCGCCACCAAGTGGCTGGAACGGCAGGGACAGACCCCTCTTCCGTTTCCCACGCCACCCCCCGACCCCCCCACCCCCGCCATGGCCTGTGCAGCCCCTGCTCACCGGCATGGTCTGGCTGCCGTGCAGGGCGTGGATGGCCGCTTGAGCCTCCGTGTGGGAGGAGAACTTCACGAAGGCACAGCCTGCTCCAGGAGAAAGAGAACAGGTGAGAGGCCACGGGGTCTTTCTGGGCAGGAGAAGCCACAGGAGAGGGGGCTGGGAGCCCTGGGCAGCCGGTCAGCATCAGACACAGGTGGCCAGAAAGTCAGACAGTCAGACAGTCGGCCAGCCATTCCATCAGGAAGCTAGCCAGCCAGATAGCACACAATCAAGGGCAGGGGACAGGCTTAGAGAACACCCACCAGCCACCAACACCACAAGATCCAGAGTTGTAGTCGGATGTGCAGAAGTAAAATGAGAAACGGTCAGGCAGAGACACAGAGAGATACAGTCCTGTGGACGTACTCAGGCAGAGATACACTCAGACCCGGACAGATACGCCCAGGTGACCAGACCTGGAGAAATGGGGATAAAGTCTCCAGACAAGGGCAGACCCAGTGGGCCAGTCACACACAGAATCAGGTGGGCAGCCAGCCAGAGACCACCACACGCATGAAGACCCAGACAGAAAGAGTCACCTGGACACCCAGGCAGAAAGAGTCAGACCAAGAGGCGCAGGAGGAGTGATATTCAACCCTAGCCACATACAGTCACGTGGGCAGACAGGCAAACAAGTCTCGGGAGGTCAGTAAACAATCATTCCTAGAAAGTACAGCCATTCGGGAGAGCTGGAGTAGGTAGGATCAGGCCGTAAGACAGCCCACAGGACACGGGCAAAACCAGGCGGAATAGTCCCGCGGATGGTCAGGTAGAGGCAGGCAATCCCAGGCGGACATGGGCACAGAGGCAGGATTTGTGAGGCCCCACATCCTTCGCCCGCGCCCGCCCCCTTGTCCCAGGCCCCGCCCCTGAAGTGCCCCGCCCCAGCCCCAGGACGCGGCCCCGCCCCCTT